GTGATTTTTAGTGTTAGCCTGGGCCACCTAGTCCAGCCGTCTAGTTGCTATCTTCTCTAAACTTTGTGTCCCTCGTTTCTGTCCTTTGCTTACATAATTCAGTTCTTTGGTGAATGTGCACAGGGAGAGGCAGAGGTGTTTGTATTCCCTAGTTCCCATGATGCAGTTCAGTTCTGAGGAAGCGTGTGTGGGTGAAAAGCGGAACACATTGTCTTGCTCAGTTCCCCCTGGGGTCTGTGCCGATTAGAGCTCCGGAGGGTGAAGCTTGCAGTGGGATGTGTGGGTTGCACTGTCCCCGGACTGAGCATCTCTCTACTATTGAGATTCTACTATTGCTTCGAGCAAGCCAATCCCACCATTTCTCCTTTCCTGCTAGGGCTCAGGTGTGGCAAACTCCAAGCCCCTTCCTTTTCTGGTTCCACTCCCACCTAGTTCCACCCAAGGATGCTCCACCCACGTAAATGTCCCCCTTCTACTTACTCTAAGGATTAGCACCCAGTGCCTTAAAAACAAACCTTTTTCATAGTTCAGTCTCCAGATATCCTAAGGACTTCTCTCAGGGACTGTTTGAAGAGACAAGCCTCGTGTTATGTGGTATAAAGCTCAGGGGTGGCTGCCATGTCCCACCGCACCTGGCCCTGTCAGTACGGTACAGCGGTTAAGATGAGATGGCTCTGCTGTCCGCCAGCCTGGTGTTACCTTTGCCACCTCTATAACCTTATGCAGAATGCTTAACTTCTCTATGAACTTAGCTGTCTCAGAAATAAAATGATGGTATTCAGAACCACACTCACCCTGAACTTTCTTATAGGGGCACCCTGGAAGGAGGAATAAAATGTAGGTAGTAACCAAGAAATGTCCGTCATTCTTCTAGTTGTTACACGTTCTTTCCCAGACTAGAACTTTCTGCCCACTTCTGAGTCAACACTGATTAGATGGGGAAAAAGTACCCTTCCAACATTTGCCTCTCTAAGGAGAAGTTGTTGCCCTGGAAAAAGAAGAGAGTCATCAAAATCAGGAGGTGGCCATCTTGACAAGCAGAATGCAGTGTGATCGCACAGCTAAAGATATCCTCTTTCAAGATGGAAATTACGTCAGGAATGGCCCCTGGTCCTTGGTAACCCAACTGTCCAGCTAAAGTCTCCAAAGAGTACAAATTTTGTCTTTTTTCCTTGACCCGTTACTTTCCTCCCTTCACCCCACCCAAAAGGGACAGTAAGCCGTTTAATATAAGCCACTTGGAAACTGCGGCTTGAGTATTTCACAGGTTCTCTTTCCTAACAGGATCGTGTTACCATTCCCTTTCACAAAACACTTGCCTCTCTACCCTGTGAATGCTGCATTTCACTCTGCTCTGTGAACCGTGGCAGATGTGACACCAAAGCAATTAGCAGACTTACAGAAATAGTGATAAGAATCATCTCTTGCTTGCAGTGGTTTATGTTGATTGCCTGTGAGGGGTTATCTGGATGGATTTATTGATACCAGAAGACTTTCTTTAAAAGTGAGTGGTGTCATTCCCTATGCCTGGGAAACTTCTGATGTGTTAATGCCTTTTCCATGGCTGAGACAGAACACCGTGACCGAGTTATCTTATAGAAACGTGCTTGTTTGTGGCTCTATAGTTTCAGAGAGAAAAGATTCCATCACCATGGCTGAGAGATGTCGCAGCAGACAGGTGGCTAGAGCAGCAAGCTTTGAGCTCACATCCTAAACCTCAAATGGGCTCCAGAGCCAACTGGGGGTGTTGGGAAGCCTTGTGAAGCCAAATTCCACCCCCGGTGACACATTCCCTCCAGTAAAGCCTCCCCAAACAGCACCATGGACTTGGGAACCATAGATTCAAATGTCTGAGACTGGGAAAGGCATATTCAAACCACACCTGTGTTGTAGAATGAGGATGAAGCAGCTAAACATCAGCATTCATCACCCTGTTTCTTGACTGTGCTCAGCTGTATCACGTCCCTGCCACCATGATTTCTTGACAGTGATGGGCTGTGACTTTGAACTGCCAATCAAAAGAAACCTGTCCTTAGGTTACTTTCGTCTGGTAGTTTTAACCCAGCAACAGAAAAAATGATTAATAGAGCTCCCTGTGGTACTCTTTTTGCAAATTATTTGTTGCTTAGTCAAATTACAAACTGAATCACTACCAAGTGTCATTTTATTTTCTGATTCTACAAGTAAATTTTAGGTATACATGCCATGGCTAGCACATTAATTCATTTGAAAAGTGATACTCATATAAAAGCCAATTTACCAATTTTAATAATTTCCCCATGTTCTAGTGGACTGTCCCACTGTCCAGAACAAGATTCTGTCCTCTGCCTATAAGACAAGGGGTCATAAAACTGCATTTTGCAGTATTTTCCTGATTTACTGTTCATGCATATCTTACTGATTTAGAAACTACTCAAGTTTCCAACAGAGGAAAGTATTTTAAAAGGAATGTTTAAAATGTTTTAATGCAGTGTTTCCATTGGGGAATGAATGTTATAAATAGGAGTGTAAAGAATCTAAAAGTTAAAGAGGTAGATCACAAAAAAATTGAAGTGTGGGAGAGAGCACAAGGAAATAAAAACTTCAACTTCTGCTCAGCATCTGAGTATTTGGGTACCGAGAAGTGATGGGATATTGGATCAGCCACTAATGGGGAAGACTGCTGATGGAGATGACACCTCAGTGGGTGGCTGGTGCCCAGACCTCTCTAATGTGCCCTGTCCTTGCGGCTTTATGTGACCAGGCATAACCTGTCTTCTTTAGCGGTAGAATTGCTGTTGAAAACAATTTGGATTTGAAGATACCAGTATTGTTTCTTTTTTAATCACACCAGCCTGAGGAAAACTTCCTTTTTCCTTATTTTTGAAGTTTCAGTACTGAAAGATTGAATGGACTCACAAACATTATTCATATATGAGGAGGAGAAAGTCCCAAAAAGCTACATGAATCCAGTTCAGCTAATAGCTCTAAACACATGTTCCTACTTCAGAGGACTTCTGCCTGTCATCAGAGTGAGATTCAAGGCTCTGTGTGGTGTGTGTTGGGGAGCCTCCAGATCCTTACAGCTTCTGATCCCTGGGCTGGCAGAGAGGAGGATCAGGGGATAAATGGACAAGGAGTCTGGCTATGGGGGTGTATGGCTTCTATTCATGATCTCTTGGTCTAACTGCAAGTTAGCCTGAGAAATAGAATTTAGCTTTCTGTTCAAAGAGAAGAGGGCTTAGTTGGATGAACAGACTGTGCCATATAGTTTACATGACAGGTCATGGTAGCGGCTGACAAGCTGCATCCTGCCACACAGGGCTTTCCTTTTGGTCTCCACTGACTGCTTTGAAAATTCAAATTCTTAAAAAGTTTTGAATATTGAATCATTTTGCTGCTACCAAAGAAGGAGATCTACTATTTTTGGCTTCTCTCAGAAGCTCAGAAGTCTAAGATATTTTCTGCCTTTGTGTTTCCTTTTGGCTTCAAATGGTCCAAACCGAGTAGTAGCTGCCACTGAGCTCAGACAGTCTCCAGTGTGCCTTACAGCCAGCTGCACTCCTGACTGGCCTGATCCTCCGAGATGCCAAACCCACGGTGGGAGAAAAGGGGTGAACAACGAAAGGACATACAGAAATAGACCCATAGGAAGCAGAAATAGTAAGTAGTTGTCAAGCCTGGGCGTTTCGGGCCATCCAATGACTCTTGACTGAGTGAGTAGAAGTCTCCAGGGCAAAGCGGGCTGAGAGATGTGACAATCCTTCCTCTCTCTGCCTGCCAGAGATTGGCTCCCAGAGTGCGGGGCTTAACTGAGGGCCCTTCGGTTTCAGAAAGAAAAAAATAACCAGACAGATTCCTACAGAGCAATAACAACAATAAAGGAATTTAGCTGTTGGATGCACAAACCCCAAGCCTGCTAGCCGGTGTGAACCGGGAGGCAACGATCGTAGCCGGCGTCTTTGAAATGTGTGTCTACCCTGAGCCCTCAGTGAAGGTAGACTTGGGAGTTAAAAGTGATGAAATGTGGTTGAGAAGCTTCTAAACCGATAGCGTAAAAATGCTTTTGGAAGGGTCACAGGGCATCCCTGCCAGGGTTCAACAATTCCCATTCTCCCAGACTCCCCCGGGTTCTCAAAGTTCCTATGCCAGCCAAAAACTACAGCAGGTGGCTCAGGACCCGCCCACCCCTGGTAATGCTGATCCCAGAACAAACTGGCCAGAAGAGCCAAAGAGCCAAGGTGACTCATTCCTTCACACACTTTAATCTAGTCCTAAGTATGGGAGAGGAACATAAAAAAGACTGTGCTTTTTTTTTTTTTTTTAAATCAATACTTGCTGACAAACAAAAATCCCCTTTCATAGGATCCTTACAGAACCTGTTTATTTGCTCTGTTAATTTTGTTGCCATTTCTTCTCAGCCTCAGTACGGAGGAAGAGAAAGGAGGCCCTGGGAAACATGGAGAAAGGTTTGGATGGCTCAGTCACAGCTGCCTTGGGCAGTGATTTCAGTCTGAAAGGACTCTGCTTGGAGTAAATCAAGAGGTATTTTGTTTGTTTGTTTGTTTATTATTATTTATATAGTATTCTGCCTGCAAGTGGGCCTGCATGCCAGTAGAGGGCACCAGATCTCATTATAGATGGTTATGAGCCATAGTGTGGTTCCTGGGAATTGAACTTAGGATCTTTGAAAGAATAGCCAGCTATCTTAATCTCTGAGCCATCTCTCCAGCCCCAAATCAAGAGTTCCTGCTGAGTGTTTTCAGCTCTGTTCGTGAGTGTGTGATGCTCAGACAGATCTGATTGTCTGGAAAAGCAGAGGAAGTGGTGGGTGATTCTAACCATAGACTTTGGAGTTAGGTGGATGGGTCTGGAGTTGAACCCTAAACTTACCTGTGTTCTTCAGCTAAACCTAGGTTGAATCCTGCGCAACTTAAGGCAAAATCCTTGAGTAAGTTTTAACTTAGCATTTGGATCCATAAAACAACTGTAAAAACAAAGCAAAAACAAACAAACAAAAAAACGGTATCAATCTAGTTTATGGGCTTTGAGTGTAATGTTTCATTTAACCACCACACCAATCTCAGACATGAGTGCCACGACTGAGCCCATTTCGAAGATGTGTCCAGGATCATGAGATTTGAAAGGAATAGAAACAGCATAATATCCTCCTCTAGTTGTTAGGAGATCTGTAAAGAAGCTAAAGGATTAGTTTCCAGGAAATACACATATATAATATATTTTAAAATAAAAAGGAAAGACTCCCCTTTCCAATGGCGCCAGTCTCTAATTACCTCTGTTTCAAATAAGTGAATGATTTTGTCATTAACCCACTATGAACGAGTCAATCATAGTATGCCTTACATTTCAACTCAAGTTACCCAAAACCACAGAGAATCTTCATGAAAAAGGTGTGAGCATCACCTGACGCTGGGCTAGGACACGTTTTATTCAAGAAACTCCCCTGTTCATCTTTTCAACCTGCAGGGTCTCTAGCAGGACCAAGCACGGCAAACGTGGCTGGGGCAGGCCTTGCCCTCCTCCATGCCCTCTTCCCTGCTAAAAACTGTTAGATTACATTCCTAAAGCTAGCCACCAAGGTCTACTTCCTTATTTGACCACTTCCTTCTCCAGAATCTGACTACCAATCAAAATCCCCCTTTGGCTCACCTAATTAACAAGCCCAATTAAAATTAAACACCTTATTCTAACATGGGGTTTCCCCCTTTTACCTTTGTAAACTGTCGCTCTTCTATGGGCCACGTCTGTTTCCTCTCTATCCAGGGACAGTCCTTTGTCCTTCTGGGACAAATATTCCTTCCCCCTCTCCCTTGTTCCTTTTCTCTTCTTCCTCATCCTCTATCTCCTGTCTTTGTCTCTTGTTTGCTGCTCTTTGTTCCTCTGAAGCAAACAAATCTCCTTTTTGCTGAGAACATGGTCTTGGGTATCTTGTATCAATACCTGTCCTTTCACAACAGACTAAAGCAAAACCATGCAAGCTATTGAAAACCTTTTTTTTCTCTCCTCTTCCTTCTTGCTTTTTTTCCTTCTTTTTCTCCAGTGCTTATGGATCAGAACCACAAGCTGATGACTTCTTTAACATTTCTTGTCTCCTTAAAACTCTCTAAATGGCCTTAACAGGGGAATCCAGGGAGGACAATTCAGTCCATAAAGGCTGGGTGAGGTTGGGGCCCTTGTGTTTCAGAAAACTACTCACAATTATTCTCATTTTTCATGGATGAAGGTCATCTGGTCACCAGTAATTATGAAAGGCTATGAATGGGGCCTTTATTGTACACAGCCCTTGAACACAGGTTACACAGAGCAGAACAGGCTTTTTCTTTTCTTTCTTTTTCTTTTTTTCTTGCTAGAGCAGAGTGAAAGAATCCTTGGAATATGAAGTGGTGGTGGTCTCCCTGAGATTAAGTCTTGCTGGCTGGGGTCCTCCTACCGCTGGAGGGCACGTGAGAACATAGGCAAAGTCAGAGGTATGAAATGGAAAGGGCAATGCAGCAGAAGGAATGCACGTTTTCAAGCGATTTGCATCATTCCCCTATGTTGCTCTCATGTTAAAGAAGCAGGCACTTGGGCCACCATTGGCATGTTTCATATGGCCTCAGAAATCTCAATGGTGCCGCTTGGCTTAATTTAGGACGATTCATTAATTCTTTTTCAAGTATGATTTAAAACTTCTGGAGTGTGCTATTCTCTCATTTTCTGACCTTCCCCTTTGACCACAGATATCCTCAAGTGTAAGCATGTGCTTATGTAGGTGTCGATGCGGGCCCAGCCAGATGGCACGGGTTAAAAAAAGAAGCCCAGATAATATTGCTTCTAATATTCAAAATCAGTTCTATTTATATGGCTATCGTCCTGAGAGTAAATGTTCAAGAAAAAAAGTTAAATTTCTTCTAGAAATAAGGTGTTAAGACCATATACCCTCAGCTTCTCCTCACAGGTAGGGGAACCAGACAAACCCCAGAACAGGCTGTTTTACGTGTGTGTGTGTGTGTGTGTGTGTGTGTGTGTGTGTGTGTTTGTGTGAGACAGGGAGCACCTAGTCAAAGAAGGAGGGCCCAACTATCTGAGATTGACTCTCTCTCTCTCTTGCTCTCTCTCATGTTTGTTTGTATGTAGTGTGAGGAAGGAGCATAGAAGAACCACATAAAATGATATTTGTGCTTTCAAGGTCTTTGAACAGGTAGAGGGAACATCCAAAAAGAAAATAACTAGCTTCTGTTAAGCCGGTCTGCAGGGGAGTCTGGCTACTCATGGGCACACTGAGAGCTTGTGCCTTGTTTTCTGATGAAGAAGAGCCTGTGGGGCTCTTGGGGTCACAGGGACTCTGCCAGCAGAGAACAGGCTTGAATGGAAAACGCCACAGACATCCACAGGTTTGTATCGGCCTTCTCTGATGAGAGAGAGAGAGAGAGAGAGACAGTGAGAGAGAGAGAGAGGAGAGAGAGCTCAGTAATTACACACTGCTGGTGGGCCGGTGACTACTGCAGCCAGAGATTCCTACCCTCTCCTACCACGCCCCACCAGAAGCAATGTCATCATTTACATCTCAGAGTCATGTAAGTTGCAGTCAGAGCTACTTCCTTCTTCCCGCTTACCAGGAGAATGAGAGGGAAGACAGCAGAGACAGAAGGAAAGGAAGAAGCCTTCCAGAAGTCTGAGAATTTGCACGTGAGAATGTCCAGGTGTTACCCCCGAAAACACTCTAACATGATAGGCTAATGATTGGTTTCCACAGAACTGGTTTAATGTACGGATCTAATACCTTGAAATGCATCTCTGTCCCCTCCCTTACTCTAACCGTCGCCAGGTATAAATTCTCTGATAAAGAAAACTGTCACCAGTACTATTCACGAGCAAGGACTTGTCACTGTTTTAATATGGCTTCTCCTTAGGGTTTATAAACTTCCAATTAGAACCCATTCTAAACATAGACTGTCCAGATAAGAGACACGGGTGCCGTGTACACCCTTTGTCTGCATCTGGTGAGGACTCACACGGGTAGAGCAGATTTTTTTCATTCAGGAAAATCTTTGACCTGAGATTTCCAGCTAAATGCAGACAGAGGTTAGCTTTATACAGAAGTAAAGGGTTTTGTTTGGGGATATCAACTTTCCAGGTCACTTTTTGACTCCTTGACCTGAGTTATCCACACGTTTTGAACCCCCTCTGAATTAGAAGCGGGCTGTGTATAGCAGTACCTCTTCTGGCTGCAGTGCTCACCTGGCTCTCCAGTTCACTGTGTGGGCCTGAGCCCATCTTGAAATCCCAGCTCCCAGTCCACTCTTCATGAATTCCTTCACAGTTCTTGAGTACAAGGATACTTATGAATGTCTGCACGCTCTGCACGTGATTGCCGAAGGTGCTTTGACTTTCTCCAAACACATAATCCCAGGGTTGACTTGGTTCAAAAGAAAGGGTTGCTCCTGGGAATGCGTTACTGGGTTTCCATCTCCTTCTAGTGGAAAGTCCCAGCCAGTTATCAATTAATAGTGAGTATCAGCAACTGTTTATCTAGCCTAACAGAGGGCATGTCTGGAGATAACTCCACAGACCAAGTCTATTGTGAAACAGCCTGAATCCTGACCGGTTGACTCCCTCTCTGGTAGCAGACTAACCACTTAACCCTTGCAGTGCCAGAGGTGGGAACTGGATTCTGTTATGGGTTAATCCGGGGGACGAGAATCCTTTTACCACGGTCCAGAAGTAAGCAGGCTGATAGCAGAGTACCTGGGCTCCTGGCTTTGTGTGTTTATGCCTTTAAGGATCTTTGGGTGGAAAGTAAAGATACGAACACAAAGGAGCCATTATAAGACTCACCTGTTTACGGGCCCAGATTGTATCAGGTCAAGGGAAATCTAGACAAGGGCAGGGCTTGGACAAGTGACAAGACATCGAGGCAGCAATGGTTCTGGGTGAACCATTGCAAGTCCCAAGTGTCAAACCTTGCTACCTAAGAGTTCTTTGTCCTTTTTAAGCACAAAAGGATTGCTTCATGGAGGTTCTATGAGTTTTGTGCCAACGGGAAGAGCACTCATGTTCTTTCTTAGCTCAGTATTTGACAAACTCGATTTAGAAACCAGGAGTCACTTTGCTTGATAGCTTGGAGGGGACAGTCATATCTGGAGAGGCACAAAACAATGATAGGTTTTTCTGGTGCCTGAATGGAAACCTTGCAGGTGTGGGTAACAGAAGCCATATTCTTTTGGTGATTTGGATGGCCAGATCCATATGCATGGCACCTTCTCGTGGGCACATGAAGTGTGTCAGCTCGGGATGTTAATGACAGCTCTTTCCCAAAGGCTATTAAGTGAGCGCAGGACTTTAGGGCAGAACCTACGAATATTAACATTTTGTTGAAGTGGTCAAGGAACTGTCTTTGGTTAGGAGTTTTAGGGAGAAGTTTCTGAGTGTTGTGGCTATTGAGTATGGACAGCCCTATAAGGAAAGACACCTCCTAATTTAGGGGGTTAAAAATGAAACCAAGTTTCTTTTCAGGGGCGTTTTAAGTTTGGAAATGGTGTCAGTTTAGAAATACAAATTGAATGTTATCTTTGAAATTCCTATTTTAGGGAAATAGATGCTTGAATATTCTGTGACATTAAAAAAAAATAATCCTGGAGCTGAGTGTTCTAGAAACAATCGCCTGCATAGGGCAGAGGCAGGGTCATGAGGAGGAGGGAAGGTAGGGCAGGAGGGAGACCCATCTCTGAGGAATGGGGCCTCAAGATACAAATTGCTCTGAAGAAAAAAACCTGACAGACCAACTGAAGGAATGAACTCAGTCTCTGGAGGTATCTGGGCCAAAACAAGTTTTAGGGCTTTGATGATGGGGTGGGAAATGTATTATGAACTCTAAGATAATGAACATCAAAGCCACACAATTTGCAGGAAAAGTATGTTACTGCCATATTGCAAGTTTTGGAAAATAAATGGCAGAATGACTTTTGGCTTACCAGGCTGAAACTGGATATTTGAATGCCTCAAAAGAAAAGACCAACAGCACAAAACCTTATAAACATATGTACAGGAAATTCATCATGATAATATAGAAAAAGTACATGAATTTATGTGCCATGAAATTAAATTAAAGCAGGAATAAGTCAGATATTACTCTTAATGGAACAGCCATAAATGAGAACCTTTATCCATTGCATAGAAATTCATAATTAGATAAAATTCACATTTATGAAGACTATTTTTTCATAGTTAAAAAAAAAGATCCTGCTACCATACCTATCATTTCATCATGTTCACTTTATTCCTGCTTAGAAAAGTAGAGCGGGCTGTAATCTCATCGCAAGGTTGAGTGAGGCTTGGAGCATAGCCTGTACACTGAACCTTGCTACAGTTGACAGACTGTCTGAGAAGTCTTTTGGATGTCAAGTTTCCTAACAAACGGATGTCAAAATGGAACTTGAAAGGGCAAGTGCAAAAGAGAGCTAAATTATGTTCCTGTCAGCTGTGTCACATCTTTCCCAGGCTGCCCTCGGGACGGGCAGATGAACTTAAGAGTTGCAAAGAGTCCGAGAGAGGTAGCATCCCTATCAGTTGTCTGCTGGATGCCTTCAGGGCAGCATTTTGGGGTATAGGATGGAGGCCTTCCACCTTGGTGCGAAGATACACCTTCCAAAGCAGTGGTGGGTACAAAAAAATGGGCACAAAAAAAAGGAGATTAAGGAAATCTTACAAGAGAGCTCCTTTGATTTCTTCGGTCTTTGGGATAGGGAAAATATAGGAGCGTCAGGTTCGGGGAGAGACTATTGCAGGATTGGGAAGACACGTGGGGCCATGACGCTTTCAAACTTCCCACACTGCATCTTTATCCATGAAATGAAGAGTTGGACTTAATGGTTTCCGGTTTCCCTCCACTCTGATGCTTTATTGTTTCACAAAGCCTGTTTTAATGTGGCATCTAGAACGATCCTCTGCCCACCAGATGCAATCCCCTGCAGAAAGGCAAGGGGCCTTTCAGGTCTGAATTTACCACAGCCATTGACAACGGCCCTTGTGGGCTGCAGCTTCCTGTAGTTACTATGGGCACTGTCCAGAGTCACAAGTAAGGAAGGAACCACAGGGCCATTTTTCTTTTCTTTTCTTCATTCTTGTTTCAGTCCAAAACTGGGCTCCTATTGTAGAAACAAGACCTTTGAGCAATGTTCCATGTGTTTATTCTACTTGTATCAAAGAGACTTTCATCTCCCCAGGGCAAATTATTAACACATTCCTCCAAAGATGGGAGGGTGGAGGCCTGGCCTTGGAGAAAAAAAAATAATAATCACCATTATAGTAAAGAGCTGCCTGAGATGAAAACTTAACAGACACTAACATAAAAGTCCCCACTTCTAATAACAGTGGTTGGCTGAACACCAAGGTCTTTGTGCCCAGGGGAGCATATCTGGGCCATTTCTTGTCTGGAAGCTGACCCTTCTGTGCCCAGGAATTTTCCACTAGAAAGCTGATGGTGTTGGAGGTGGGGACCTTTGTGGGCGCCCACAGCCCGTCACCCTCAATCTTAGCAGGAGACTAAATCGTATTGGCTGACTGAACAGTGAATGACTCTAGGTTCCAGGCTGTAAATGTTTGTCTTTCAAGATTATTTGGTTGAGAAGAGGAGGGAGAGAACAGGAAGGTGAAGGGAAGGCAGGGTACCGGGGGAGTGGAAGGTGGGGGCAGGGGAGAGACCAACCAATCACACTTAGATGTAGTTAAGACTTAGATATAGTCAAGGGAAGTAACAGACGTGACATCAGCAGAACACCATTTGGCCTTCACTAATAGATCACTCCCTAAGGTCAAGGCTTTCGGGAGTTGTTTCCAGGCAGATCATGCAGTTTTTCTAAAGCATGTCCTCTTGATTTACAGGGTCCACGAAGTACCCAGGCACCTCCAGGATACAGCTCAGTGAACTGTATGCAGAAACGAGCCTGGTGGAAGGCACACGGGGAGAATTTGTTGGGGCCCCAGGCTCAGACATCATTTGTGTCTGCCTTTTTAATAATCTTCCCAAGTAACACCAACACATTTGATACCTCAAGACTCACATTCGGTGATTGTGGCAATCAAGATGAAGGAAGAGCTGTGAATACATTGTTTGTCATTAGCTCTGGAGAGAAAATAAGAAGACAGCTAGGATTTGAAAAACTTCCTGTAGCAGAACAGCCCATAGATTCTTCTGCAGAAAGAGCCTAGGACTTGGGCACTCTTTTTTATCTGAGGCTAAGAGCTTGGCTATGGTCTGAGGATCCACATTATTCCTACATCAAGAGGACATCACTAATATCCCACTGTTTCACCAGATTCAATACAGATTTTTAAAGCCTTGGTTAGTGGCGGCAACTGTTGTTTTCGTTGACATCTGGGTGACTGCTGTGATCATTGAAAGTGATGAACTCCGAAACTGGCACTCAGGGTATGTGATGCGTCTCTGTGCCGTGGTTCTCAAAGAGAGAAGTCCCGGTCAAGCATAGTCTGGAGACATTCCCGGCCGCTTTAAGCCAGAGGGGCGATTCCTTTGGTATCCAGCAGGTACTGATTATCCTAAAATGTACAGGATGCCCCCCAACAAATAATTACTAATTAAAACACGTGATAGAAACTGGCTAGGTAGTTTCGGTGTGAGGAACCCCAAAAGCAAATAGTCTTTACGAGGAAATGCCCCGAGGCTTGTTGTCAGTTTTGTCCTTGACAAAGGCCAGGGATGCCAGAGATATTTCAACAAAAATGTCTTTGGTTGTGCCCTGGCTAGAAGCCAGTATGCCAGATGGGAGGTTTCTGGTTTCTCCTTGTCTCTATTCCTCCTGAAGGCAACATGACCAAAACTGAGAGGAGGCACCTGGACATCCCATGGCTGGACCAACTGAACTGACCAACTCATAGGTCTCACCACAGTTTCTGCTAAATTTCTATAAAAAGCCCCAGTCTAATTGCTTAATGCTATCCCATCTTCCAGGACTTCTTCCTGTTAGTAGAAACCCTACTTCCTTGCTTCTTTCTTTTCTTTTCTTTCTTTCTTTCTTTCTTTCTTTCTTTCTTTCTTTCTTTCTTT